GTGTGTGTGTGTGTGTGTGTGTGTGTGTGTGTGTGTGTCTGTGCATGCAGTGCCCTCCGAAGCCAGAAGAGGGCATTCCTTGGAACTAGAGTTATAGGCAGTTATGAGCAACTCAATCTGGGTTCTGGAAACTGAACCTGGGTCCTCTACAAGAGCAGCAAGTGCTCTTATCTGCTAAGCATCTCTCTAGACCCCTCTCCCATTTCTTTAGCCTGAGAAAGTTCTATAATGAAAATCCCAGCACTTGGGAGGTAGACCAGGGATGGAATGGGAAAGTGTACAGCCCTTGTTTGAATTTTGTCCCTGCCACCTACTAGCTGTGTGATTTTGAGAAGTTAATTAAATCTCTGTGGCATATCTGTAAAAGGGGAGAAAGGTGGATTGTGAGAATTAAATAGGGCAGTGCATATGAGGTCTTTTGAAAAGTACCCAGCATGAAGGAAGTGCTCAGTGGAACACTCACTCACTTGCTCATTTGCTAGTGGTATTCATAAAATCAACTGCACACAGTAAGACACAGTCAGTGCCCAGCACAAGGCAGCTACTTGGTGTATGTGACATTAACAAATCAGTGCTGAAATTCTGCAAATAACACAGTGCGTTCCCTTACTCTTACCCCCGATCATTTCCTATCCAGCCACTAACTCAATATTTCCATGCTACTTGGATGCATTAATTAAAGCACTTTACAAACTGTAAAGTACTTTGAGCTATTAGTCACTATGATAATTCTGTTTTTGTACTTGGAGAAATGATTAATGCTGCTGTTGTCTAGTTCCCAGTTTACAAATACCTTTTTGTGCACATTATCTATTTTAATCTCTTGAGCAGCTAATTGAGGCAGATATCCTTATTTCACAGCTAAGAATACTAAGATTTGGGCATAATTAAGTAAGTTAAATACTTTCCAGGTGACAACACAGCCAGGATTCAGTCCTGCCCGGGTCTCTGGTGCAAGAAAATGAGGTCACTCCCTTCTCACTCCCATAATGGCTCTCTGTCATTCTAACCAAGGTGGCCTTGGTTACACGCTCACTTTATTTCAGCCTGTCCAGTGCTACCCAGGTGGTATTAAAGACCTGGTGCTGGCCTTAGGGCAGGCATATCCTTGCCCTTAACCAGTAGGCTGGAGTCACTTTCCCAGACCTTGTTTTCAGCCTTGCACTCCTTAAAAAACAAAACAAACACCTCAGTGTTTGCACCTGCACCCTGAGCACCCTGGGTTAAGCTGGGTGTCTCTTGTGAGATTAGACTCGAGGTGGCTGCGTTGGGAGAGGTAGCTGGAAGTGATGATATAGCTGAGTCTCTCTAGAAGCTGAAAGAAGGCTCCAGCTCCAACTTCCCCAGGGGGTGTCTGTCCATGTTATAGTCCTTAGTTCCTGCTTGCTTATCCTACCCAGTTAGGCACTGATATTCTTTTTCTGCCCTGTCTGGCCTCCCCGGGGTCAGACTTTTCAGCTCCAGTCTCCTGTGTCTCCAGGATCTCCTCCCTAGATACCTCTGTGCTATTGCAAATCTGACTAAACCCGACAGACGCCATGCCCTCTCCTTGGTGTTCTCAGGCCATCAGGGCTCTGTGTGGAGGAGATGAGGTAGTGGCTCTGACTTTTGTTCTCTTTGTGAGAAGGAGCACAGGCCAAGGCACTGCATTGAAAACAGTGGCAAGGGTTCACAGACATCAGCAAGCACCTGGGCAGAGAAGCAGATGTACAATCTGGGCAGGGATGTGGTTTGCTGTACCAAAGTCCTGTCCTGAGCAGGCCCCCAACTGGGACTGCTGTCCTCCTGCAGGCCAGTGTGACCTTGGAGGGACAGGCTTGAATGAGATGGATGTGAGTTTCTCTATGAAATAAAAGGAATGGTAATGTCCATTTTCAATGACTTTGGCAGCAGGCCCTTGGCCCATTGGTACGGCTTCCTCTTCTGTTATCAGAACTGACTACATTACTGGCGGGGCCGTATTTTTGGGCCTTCCCATTTGGAGGTCTGGGAGGAGGGGAGAGCACCCCAGTTCCAGATGCCTGCTCAGCACCTCTTTTTTTCCTGGATGCAGGGGGTCGCCTAGACCAGCTTGCCTGCACCCTTCCCAAGGAGCTAAGAGGGAAGGACATGCGTGCGGTACCCATGGAGATGTTTAACTACTGTTCCCAGCTAGAGGATGAGAACAACTCTGCTGGGATGGATGCTCCAGGGCCACCCTGCACCAAAGCCAGCCCAGAGCCTGCTAAACCTAAGCCCGGGCCTGAGCCTGAGCCTGAGCCCAGCACTGCCTGCCCTCAAAAGCAGAGGTACCGGCCCGTGAGTGTTCGGCGAGCCATCGGCACGGTGATCATTGCGGGTGTCGTATGTGGCATTGTCTGCATCATGATGGTGGTGGCTGCTGCTTACGGCTGCATCTATGCCTCCCTCATGGCCAAGTACCACCGGGAGCTCAAGAAGCGCCAGCCGCTGATGGGGGACCCAGAGGGTGAGCATGAGGATCAGAAACAGATCTCTTCTGTGGCATGAGAGCTGTCTGTTAGGCCCAGGTAGGACAGCAAGGAGACTCCACGAGACTGCTACCAAAAGGGCTGCCCTTCCCTCCATCACAGGCCCTGCCTCAGCCTGACACTGCAACTGCCTCCCTCAGCAACCCGGCCCTTGTCTGCCCTCCAGTAGAGCAGCCTCCCAGTCTCTTTCCAAGTTTCCCTTGGCCAAAGGTTCCCGTGAAAGGCCCTCTCTGGGCTCCTGGTCTTTGGAACACCTGAGCGTTCCTGTAGGCTCTGGCCTCAGGGAATAACCTACACCACAAATGCCGAACACCTCCCTCCTGCCCAGGACCAGCACAGCTGGAGACCCTCCCTACCCCCTCTTGCTCATCCCCACTTCAGTCTGCATTAGGGCCTGAGAGGGAGGGACAGGGGAGCAGGGGTAGATTTCTGTGACTCCTTTTGAAGCCAGAAAGATATTCTTAGGTCCTTGCAGTGTGAAGCTCATCCGGCTCTCAGTGGCTGGTGCTAATGTGCAAACACTCCCCCAGCCCTGTGATCTGGGTCCTGTGCTTAGAAAAACCAAAGTGACTATAATGTCTTCCTTGGGTGGATGCCATTATGTTCCTTTATCTGCTATAGACTCCTCTGACTACATTGCTCTGGGTTTATTAATTTTATATTTTTGTTTTAGTGTAGGGTTTTGAGACAGGGTTTTACTCTATACACTAATTCACTGTCTCACACAGGGAATTGCTATCATAGTCCCTCGGGTCAAAGTCTCTCTCTCTCTCTCTCTCTCTCTCTCTCTCTCTCTCTCTCTCACACACACACACACACACACACACACCAGGTGGGGAACAAAGGCCATGAGAACTTGGGGCCGAGGCCCACTGTCCCCTCAGCCTGGAGGCCATAGTCCGTCTTCCTGACTACAGTCTTCCCATGTCATCTGGGTTAGGTCCTGGACAATAACACAGAGACCCTTTGAGACCCTCTAAAGTGGGCCACAGCATGCTGCTGGAGGGATTGCCCATTGCCATGGCAACTCTAGCACCTCTCCTGCTAGGTTTACCAGAGATGCAGGAGCTGTGTGTGTATGTACACACACACACACACACACACACACACACACACACACACACACACACACACACACACACACGACAGGTTCCAGGCTCCTGAGAACTCAGTTGCAGACCTCTGGCTATGCCTGGGATCTTCCATCCTGCCAGGTCCCAGGCACACCCAGCAGTTTCCACTGCTACAGCCTGAAGTCTCACTTCTGTTCCTCTGCTTCTCCTGCCTCCTCTGTCATCTGCATCATTTGTTTGTGACCTCAAGGCAAGGTCTGGTTCTGGGCTGTACTCTGATTTGGGGGGTTCACCTTAAGGAGAGCAGATGTCAGGCTGTGGGTCCTCGATGAGGCTGGCTGCCTTCAATACATTCCCAACAGACTGCAGGAACAGGAACAGGATGGCTATATTCTGTTCAGAGTCCTCAGTGACCGGGCTTCCTTTCCCCAGGGGTTCAGGGGCTCTGCCTGGTTTCCTGGGAGCGTGCAATTGCACCTGAGCTGGTCCAAGCTAAAAAGTGGCTGCAGCCCTATCTGGGATGGAGACTCTTGCCCCCTGGGCCGTGCACATATTCAGGGTTGCTGTCTGCTGTTCTCCGCTGTCCCCTCCTTAGAGAGTGGTATTCCTCTGTAGGAGATGCCAGGCTGATACCTTGCCTTGAGAAGGGTCTAGGTGGTAGCCAGAAAGAGACCAGCTAGACACTGAGGCACTGAGGATGTGTCTACAGGGGCATTGGGATAGCCTGGCAGTCCTTCTCTTTTTCTTCTACCACCTGCTCTACTAGCAGGGGGGTGCACTGCAAGTCTCCGGAGAGCTTTCACGGTGGTTCTCTGGCCAGTAGACAGAGAGCACAGGCTGCTATACAGGATCACAGGATCCTCTAGGCCCGGCCACAGCCTTCCTTCCTCTTGGCTGGTGGGCCAATCCCAGAGCTGGGATTTTCTAAGGGCCTGGGGGAGGGAGGGTGTTGTCAGTGGTGATATCTTTAGCCTGAGACAGAAGATTTTTAAAGGCAAAATTATATTTCTGGTTTGTTGTTTCAGAAGACCAATAAAGACTATTTTCCTATGTATTTCCTGGCTTCATTGGGTGGGAGGGGATGTGGGCATTGGGAGAATGGTGCCCTGTCTCCCTGCTTCGACAGACAGCCCAGCCATTTGTAGGGGAATGTCACCCTGATGTAGAGAGCTCTATGTGACAGACGGGCTCCCTACTCAGTATCCAGGACCTCAGGGCTGGGAGGGTGTGAAGACAGCATCTTGGGTAGGATTTGACCCAGGACAAGGTGACAAGCTCTGGCTGAGCTGGGATTTCCAACCTAGCCATGCTTCAGGCTGGCAGTAACAAACGTGAGTCCCAGGGAAGAGTGAAGCTTGTGGAGCCGAGGTGAGCAGACCTTGTGCTTGGGCATCCATTCAACCCCTGACCAATCTGTCCTGGCAGTCAAGGGCAGGTGACGATGACCCATGTGGCATGAGGCTTGCATTTGCATAGAAGATGGCCTGTGGTCGCCTGAGGACCCTTGTCTTACCAGGAGGTGGGGAGACTAGTTAAGGGCAGCTGCCCTGTCACCTAGGTTTTATTAGCCTCACCTGGGGTCCGTGGAGGTTTTCTGGAGTTTCACAAATGCCACTTTAGTCTACATAAGCACCCCGCACCTAGGCTTATGAATCTGCCCTGCTCCTCTAGCGGGGAGCTAGAATTAGGGACTGGAAAGCTGGGAGTACAGCATTGAAGAGGGGAGCAGCAAGAAAGCATGGCCTCTGGGATTGCTGGTCCAGCCCTGGAGGAAAAGCTTGGCCTGCTCCCTGTGGCCCTGTCACCCCCCAGGGCAGGACTGGCCTCTAGACCAGTGGTTCTGAACTCTATCTTTAGCGACTCGCATGGAACCCTGGGAGCTGTTTCGCACCGACAACCCACTAAGTCAGGAACAGACCTCAGTGAGACGTGAACCCCCCAGGGTACACAAAGCCTTGTAGCCAGAGAGACTTTCTTCCTAGGTGTGGTCAGAGCCAGGTCACCCTCCTCTAGTCCTTCTATACCAGAGCCAAATCTGGTCTCCTCTGAGCCCCCTGCAGGAGCAGGACAGCACAGCACAGCACAGCACACATTGCTACCAAAGCCAAATTCATTGAGGGAGATAGATGTACAGAGGGCAGCCGTCAGACCTATCCAAACGCTTAAGGTGACCCAAGCCTCTCTAGACAGCAGGGCAGGTCTCAGACACACCATGCAGCACGCCAGCCCATTCTGGAGAGCACCCAAGGCCCCAGCTTCCAGGGACAACAGACACGCCACCTACCCCTCCTTATGCTGAAAGTCCCAGCTGGTCCCAGGATCAGGGAGGTTGTGTCAGGGACCAGGCAAAGGGAAATACAGAATGAGATGCAGGTGAACTCACAGTGTCAGGTCTCTAACGCCTCATGCTTTTTCTGTCACAGCTGTGCACCCTGAGCGTCACAGGGACTGTCTGAAGGAGTTCAACTTGAGGCACTGGGACACGGTTTCTATGGCAACCCCTCCTGGCTCTAACTCAGCTCTGAGTTAAAAATTAAATCAGATAATTGGGGAGTGTGAGGAAGCACAGCCAGCAGCTTGGCCTCATATCCCTTCTCTCCTTCCCAAGGTCTTCAGGTAGAGGGGCCAAGAAGGCCACCTCCAGGCAGAACAAGGTAGCCATGGGTCTGTTGGGACTAAACCACAGGAGGGTTTTAAGGAGATAAGGTGACTTGACATCTGGCCATGGGCTCTGGAAGAATTGTGCCCTGGTGATGAGCTGCTGGGATGTAATATATTCTCTTCACAGGGTTGGAGGCATCTTACAGACTGCCGGGGATACTAGGGTGGACATGTCACCGAGTCACCTTCCCCTATCTCGGCCCAGAAGGGAATACACAGGAACCCTGACTCTGGGTAGCAAGGGCTGCTTAAGGAAACTCAGGCCTGCCCCTCCTGTTCCCCCCACTAGACTCTCCCACAAGAGCCTGGTACCCCAGCTCCACCAGGATGAGTGACCATGGATTGCACAGCTTCTTGAAGAACGTGGAGGGCATGATTCCAGGGGCTCAAAGAGCTAGCAAGGCACCGATGCCAAGGACTGTCCTAGTCACCAAGAAACTGCAAAGTCAGGTCAAGCTTATGAGGGCCACTGGGTGCTTTCCTTTTAGAAGTGGAGGCAAACTCTGGGTCCCAAAGAGGTGTTCTGAGTCCAGGTTCTAGCTTTATTACTAGCTGTGGATAAATAACTTCTCCATGCCTTAGTTTCTTTGTCTGTAATATGGCCTCCGTAGGCACCCTGAATTCCAGGTGGAAAGTGCAAAGTCGTGAGCCCAGGTCTAGAGTTCAAGGTAATGTCTTAGGAAAGCAGTGTCCCAGTGATAGGATGGAGGCCTGGATTGTCTCTGCCCTGTGTGACCTTGAGCAGGTCTCTTAGCCTCTCTGAGCTTCTTTTTACTCCATGAATCTTTTTGGTTTTATGGTTTTATAAACAAAATGACATAAGCATCCACTTCCTTTCTCTAGCATTTCTCCTGGGAAAATTTAGAATCCCTATATCCAGGGCATCTTATTCTTTCTTCCCGTGTGTGTGGTGCCAGGGATGGAAATGGCCTCAGGCCAACTAGACAGGTGCTCTAGCTGAGTCAGCCCCTCCCTGCCAGCCCTCACCTTGACATTGCCTTGTAGCTCCCACCACAGTGGTTCAGGGTAGTGCCTACCTGCTGCAATGGCTGTCTTCCCATCCACTGTCACAGTTATCGAAGTGCTGGCCCTTATTGCCACTGGCTTGCCCGGGCTATCTGGAAAAATGAGAATTATCATTATTCCTGGTGCCTTGCAGAGGGCGTTAGGGGGTGAGCCTATCTCTTTCTTGGAATAGGAGACAAGTAGGAGAAGCTATCCCTGAAATAGGCGTGGTGGGGAAAGTATCCTGTTGCTGTCATGGGTTGTTGCTGTCCACCACCTATCTTTCAACAGTGGTATAGAGGTCCCTTGCTGTCCCCACATCTGGACAAATCAGAACTCGCAGGATCAGTCCTTAACCTCTGCCAGACTGACTTTGCTCCATTTCCAGCAACAAACCCGTCTGCTTGCTGGTCCTGTTTAGTTCTCTTGCAATTGTTGCAGGACCCTGCGGCAGCCTGTCTTCCCATTCATTGTCTTATCTTTGTTTTTCTGTTGCTGTGATAAACACCACAACCAAAAGCAACCTGGGGAGGAAAGGGTTTATTTCATCTTATACCTTCAGGTCACACCCCATTATTGAGGGAAGTCAGGCAGGCAGTCAAGGTAGGAGCAGGAAGCAGAAATTAACGGAGTAGTGCTGACTACGTGGCTTGCTCTCCCCCTGGGTTGTGCCCAGCCTGCTTTCCTGAACGACTCAGGCCCTCCTGTCTGGGGATGGCGGCATCCACAGTGGTCTAGGCCCTTCTACAGTTAACTATCAAGATTGTGCCACAGCCCAATCTGATCAAGGCAACTCTTGAGTTGCGGTTCCCTGTCTTCTTGCTAGCTGACTGAATGCAGTCAAGTCGACAATAAAATCTACCTGTACAGGAGCCAAACATGCACCCCACATTGAGGGGTGGGTTGTAAGCATCCCAGGCCTGAGTGGTGGGTGACCCTGCCTTGCCTTTATGAGTCACAGAGAGGTGACAGTGATGGTTGTCCCGCCTCAGCAGCCAGGATGGTATCTAACACATGTGAGGCTTCATGGATCCTAGTCTCTGGCACCCAGCTCACCACCACAGTGACTCCCTTACCATTGCTGCCCTTCTAGAACTTTCGGCCAGGTTCCTGGAGGCCTGGGTTGCCTCTCACTTCTTTTAGGAGAACCAGGCCATCCTGGGGGCAAGATTCAGAGGGTGGTTTCAGAGCCTTATGACTGGCTGTGGTGCGACCTCTGACCTCTGACCTTCCATGTCCTTGGGCCATCTTTCCAAAGGCCTCTTATAGTCTATAGGTCAGACTCCATCACATAGTCCAAGATCTTGTTCTGTCCTGTCTGTCAAACATCCTAGTGCACACTGCCTATGCTAACCAGTTCTCAGAGCCTCATGGAGATTGCTGAACAGTGGAGTCTCTGTAATGAGGCCAAGCATGGTCACACACATGCTGTGTCATAGTTCTCCCAATACCTTGCTATCTTCAACACATCTCAAGAATCTAACTCACCTGGACTCTGGGAACCTGTGACACTTGAGCTGTCCTTGATTCTAGAAGTTTCCCATGGCAAAGCCAAAGGAACCAGAGTAGAAACAGACACAAGACCCCTTACTTTTTTTGGAAATACCTATAAGACATGAATGGGGGGCCCCTGCAGGAATCCTTGGCTCTGTAGCCTTGGCTCTGTGACCTGCCTTCCAGCGAGCACAGGCTCGTGGGGAATATTCAGTTAATCTCTGAAGACCTTGGGAATGTCAATGTTAGTGTCAATGGTCACGTGGCCCAGAACCTGTGTGAACAAGCTCAGGAAGAGAAGGGATGTGTGTGGAGTCCGGAGCCCAGGCCCTTGGTGCTGGCGGATTGCAGATGCTGGCAGGTGGCATAGGCACAAGCTACAGGGACAACTCAAGGGGGCAGCACTCAATCTACCCAGACCCCAGACCAGCCAGGAGGCTGCCCCACTCTGTGTCTGCCTCCCCGGAACCCCCCACACCTATTGAAATGAAATGACTTTCTTTCTCTTGGGGAGGATGGGAGCCTAGAAGTGTCCACGTGGCTTTAAGCGTGTGCTTGGGCTTAGCAAGTGCGCAATGGCGTAGGAAGGGAGCGAGCTCCTGCCTCCCTCCTCAGCAGTCCCCTTTTGGGTTGCCAGCTTCTCTCCCTTCTCCTGGCAGCTCAGTTCCCCCACCCACCTGCCCTCCTACCTCGTGGACACATAAAGCTTCCCTGAGCAGCCAGCAGGCAGTCCTGGTGACAGTGCAGGCAGGAGTGAGCCTGTCACCCTGGCTGGGTGGGGCCCAGGGTCTCACCAGGGAACATCTGTGGAGTCTGTGGGTGTCTTTCCTGAGGGGAACCCTTCATATGATGGGAGGAGCTGCCTCTCTGCCTCAGGTGAACAACATGGGAAGACTTTCAGCTTGACTTTAAGAGTGTCCTTTGTGGGTCCCGGGGAATGAAAGCCCCTCATTTCTCTATCTGCCTTCTGCCCTCTATCTAGGGCGTCAAAAGAACCTGGACTTTTGTGACCTGGCTGTAGCTTGCTGGCTCTAGCTTGCTGTATAAACTACTCCTGTGTCAAGTAACTTGAACAAGTCACAATGTTCTTCTGAGTCTTCGATTATCCCCAGGAGATAGTATCAACAACACTTATTTCATGGGGTTTAGCAGGGAAATGTTTGTAAAGCACACTAGACACTGGTATGTGGGTGGAGAGAATGACACAGGATGGAATGACAGGCTCAGTGGGTACTGAGGAAGCTTTGGGGTTGTAGAGAAGAATTCACCCTTGCTGTCTTCAGCCTAGAGGGGGAACCCTGGAAAGTCTGGGTTCCTGAAGCTGACAGCCCCAGGACGGCTCTCCCTGGTGTGTGTGCCCCTAGTCCCTATGTGTGTGTGTGTGCACACATACACAGAGGTGTTCTTCTGCAGGCCATCACTTCCTGCACACCCTTCTCAATTAAAGTACACACACACACACACACACACACACACACACACACACACACACAC